GTAGTGAAAAGACTTGTGTAATTTAGAAACAGCTGAAGTGGTAAGGAGACATAATTATCAACTTTTTTTTTAAAAAATAATGGCTGGAAGTTAATATTTTCATGTGTGCAGAATAAATGCTTACTAATTTAAAAGTACTCTGGCCACTCTTAACTTAGGGCTGTTGTAAGGTGAAGCAGGTATCAGAACTAGCGGTTTATAGAAATACAGTGTTCTGCGTTTTGTGACCAAAATGCTCACAGACTTGTATATGAAAACCTTTTGTTTATCTCCAGTTTATTGCAATTTCACATTTAGCTTTAATACGAAAGTTTACTTACTGATGCTGTTGCAAGTATATAGTATGGGTTGTTATAAACCATGTAATGCATTTTCTAGGAAATTAAATTATTTCTCATCTTTATCACTTTTGCTTGAAAATATTAGCTATAAGAGCTTTAAAACTGTTCCTTTTCTTGAAGTTTAAGTTGATTTAAAATCAGTAATAAAAATGTTCTTTGGTTATATGTTGTCAGATTCAACTCATGTTCATATTCAGTTCTGTAATTCAACTGAAGTCTTTTAACAGTTTGGGTTATTGGGCCTATATTAATGAAACTTTCCACTTTCGGGTTTTATGACAACATTTTAGAAGGACATTTTGTAATAGAAGGTAGTATCTGTCTTGAGTACAGTGGCACCTCCTGCTTAACGTCTGACACTCCCCACCCCAAAAAAAAGCAGCAGCACGAAACCATCCTTACATGACCCTCAGGGTGTCTGAGGTGTTTAAGATATGGAAAAATCTGCATTCTTTGCCTCATTGCTTGAGATGGCTGTTTGGAGATTTGTACTAAAGTAACTGGAAAACCACTGTCCCGCTTTTTCAGTGCTGGGGACTGGTTGGTAATTAATTGCCTGGTGTTAGATAATACATGCAAAGAGCTTCCTCTTAAACACTCTGCAGGACGAGTACAAGAGATGAGGACGCGTGTCCAGTGAAAGGGGGAGCGTGTATGCAGTCTGTCTTTTGGGAATGGTTGGGAGGTGGATTAGGTCTTTGCTAAGTCCTTAAGGTGCCCAGGATGGTCTATAATGAAGAAACCACTGAGGGTCGTCCCAAGTTACGGTACTAAAAACCCGCATGGCTGGGTTTCTGTGCAGTGTAGAGAGCAGTGCAGCTCTCCCCGGCTCTCTAGGTACAGCCAGCTTAGATGCTTTGCTCTGTGTGCTCGTCTCAAGTGTAGCTGCTGCAGAGGTATGCTCAGCGTAAATCGTGATGGTTTATTCCAGATGCTTTAGCTACCTTTGCAGTTGTGGTTTATTTGCTTTCAGTTATATTCTGAGGTAATGGATAGGAGCTCTGTTAGTGATGCTAATAAATGGTTTTGATGGGTTTTGACTTTTGTTTTCCCTTTGTTTAGGGAGTGACAATTCCCAGTCAGAGACGCTACGTGTACTACTATAGCTACCTGTTAAAGAATCACCTGGATTACAGACCAGTGGCACTGCTGTTTCACAAGATGATGTTTGAAACAATTCCCATGTTCAGCAGCGGAACTTGCAGTAAGTACCCAGCACCCCGTTAACCCCCGTTAGCTCTCGTAAGGAAATGCATCGGCATTTGAACTTGGTTTGGTTATGTGACGGTTGCCAATCTGTTACGTGACACAAAGAGCTGCATGTCTTCATGGAGGAGAAGGTCATACTTAAACGTTTCATGTTCCAAAATCTGCTGGGCTAGGGTGGTCTATCCATTAGCATCCTCCCAGGTGTAGTAAGTTGATGTCCATGAAGGACTCATATGGTTGTTTCACTACCATTTTAAATTGGGATGCATTTAATGGTTTGAAGATAAATGATGCTATATATATATATATTTTTGGATATTTGCTCCTTACTTTTTTATAAAAGGCTTTTTTTTTTTTAAATATAGCAACTCTTGGGAAACACGAATTGCTGAAAAACATTTGCTTAATGGTGTGTTGTCTTCAAATGCAGCAACGTTGTTCTTCCTATGATGTTTAAAAAAAATAAAAATCGGTTCTGCTGGGTAATTATCCAGTGTGGAACAAACTTTTCTTTGTATAGAGGGTTATGAAGTATTAATACACCTGTAAACGATTAATCTGATTTGCTGACAGTGTTAGTAAGGAACTGCAGATTCCTTAAACTTTGAAGTATAAATACGAATTCACTTCTGTCCCTTTGTGAGCTGCGTTGCAGGGCAGTAACTGCCTAGTGTTGCGTGTTCATTTTTTGTTAGTGGAAAAAGTCTTTCTAATGGTTTTGCTATGGCGATTACTGCAACGTGTAATTAATTTCAGTGCCTCCTGTGGCTTTGATTAAAATTGCAGTATTAATATTGTTGTAAGACAGTACCTGAACATGTAACGCGCATGAGAAACAATCAAGCAACTTGTCAGGCTAGCTGTATTTACAGGAGGAGGAGGAAGGGAGGAGCTTCTGCCAAAAAACCTCTGCCTCTAGGGTAGAGGTGTGGAGGTTACAGATTTCTGCAATTACCACTTATTTAATGTTTTGGATAAACTGTGCTATACTTGCGAAATCAAGCTACAAGTATGAATTGTTCGTGTGAGCACTTGTTTGTCCGTACCAGGGTGTTAGCATGCTATTTTCATAGTAGGATGTTGGGATAAACAGAAGATTTGCGAAGTACATAATAAGAAGAGTAACTATCAACTTCAGGATCTTTGTGTACTGCAATATTTTATGTTTTCGTGGAGTTTTCAGTTATTTTTCAGAATGTGAAACCAATGGTCTGTGTTATTTCTTTAGTTGTGTTATCTACTGCAATGGCAGTAATTTTACCAACACATGATAACTTTTTAAATCTGACATCCTTCTTATCTTCCTTCTGTTTTAAAATCACTGACTGAGCAGAGTTGTGCCTCTTGGGCAAAACGAAGGGATGACAGGGTTTTACGGCTCTGAGGATTTGAGGGAGATAAGTAGCAGTTTTATAGCTAGGCCGGTCAGCAAGATAGTGTGGGTCTGCTCGGAGGGACTTCCACAGCTCTGCAGGGGTGGTTTCTGGGTGGCTACACGCTCTACGGCAGGGTATGGTTCAGTGTGCGTGGTCTAGGGAGCGGTCTGCATCTCATACTAACAGCGAAGGCAGGAGCAAATGCAGAAAGGCTTCTTAGAATAAGTTTCATTTGGTATTTCTGGCCCCCATGCTGGTGTCTGGCAATTTCCAAAGAAAGTCTGCTTAAGCTGCACCAAAACCTCCTCCTAACTTCAGCTGTAACCCCTGCAGATTTAATTCGGAATGTTGTGCCATGGCTGGCACTTTTTTGGTGGCAGTGACTTATGGTCTGTGTCTTAATAGTGTGTCAGTGCCGGTTGGTTTCTGTATTAATGTTAAATTTTGTCCTTGTTTTTGTTTGTATAACAGTTCTGTTTCTGTAAGAGTAGACATCAGTTTGTGCTGACATGACTGCCCACTCTGCAATGTGAAGAAGAGACGAGAGAGAATAAAACCCCTCAGTTATGTCCATATAATGTAGAGATGAGAGGCAATATCCAAGGAAAAGTCAAGAAGTTGTCACTTCATATAGTCCTTTCTTACTATATTAAAAAAAACCCAGCAACTTTCTGGGAACTCTATGGTTGCTGAGAGTATTGCTACAAAGGACAGAAATGTTAGGCTGTTTCCAGTAACGTCTAGCAAAGTTTGATGCCCTGTGGTGCTTAACTCTTAATAGACATTTATTTAACTTTCAGAATATCATAGCTCATGATTGTGATTCTGATACTAATATTGTGCTTTTTGGTACTTTAAGGCATTTCTTACCAAGTGACGCTCTGTTTTGCCATGCAGATCCTCAGTTTGTGGTGTACCAGCTAAAGGTAAAGATATTCACCTCCCCTTCAGGACCCTCAAGACGTGAAGACAAGTATATGTACTTTGAATTCCCTCAACCTTTGCCGGTATGCGGTGATATCAAAGTGGAATTTTTCCACAAACAGAACAAGATGTTGAAAAAGGTTGGTTTTCTTGCTTTTTTGGAAAATGTTGTTGAGCCAATCCTGATGTAGGACTGGGCTGTTGGTTATTCTTCAGTGATGTGTAATCACATTTGTTGATGTCTAGTTTTCTCAAGGAGAGAATCTAACACAAAATGAAAGCTGGATATTTTGAGAGTAGGTGAGATGAAGTACAAAGGTTGGATAAAAATTATACTGATACGTATTGCAGTCGTTTGGGTAGTAGTGAGTAATCTAATTGAGGAAGAAACATTCTAAAAATAGACTTGCATACTGAGCAAGTTAACTCCAGCTGTTTTCTTCACTAAATTTTCCTAAGGTTTGAGCAGGCACAGAAGATCATGTCTGTGTGCTGTTGGCTGATTTCTACCCATCTGTCAAATTTGGTTGAATTTTCGAGATAATTGAGTTCCTACGCACTCTGTAAAAGTATCTCTGCAATCTATTCAGCCATTTCTCTGTTCCCAGCTGCAATGCCTTGACATTAGATGTTTAGAGAATTCACTCAGAACTGAGAATTTTATCAGTGTCTCAATTGTGGAAAAAATTAATCTAGAACTTATTTTGACACCAAAGTCAGCGAGTTCTTAAAGACGAATGCCTCATCACTGGGTTTCATTAATTCTGGTGCTTGTGGAGCTCGTTCGCATCTACCAAAGTGAAAGGTGAGGATGAGACCGTGTTGATTAAAGGCTACCTTTGTATTTACTACTCAAAATTCTTTCTGAATAGTTGGTCACTATTTAATGGATTTTATAAAACTTAAGAGCATTCATTGAGTGAATCCAGTGTACAGGCAAAGTTTAAAAATAAGAAAATACTAGAGTGGATTGGAAGACAAACCTAAGTGATGAGATGAGAGTCTTATAACTGTGCACGCAGGTTGTACCTACTAGACGTGTGTGTAAATACACGTGCACACTGAGTTGCAAGGTGTTGTTAACTAGTTTAATGGTGCAATTTCACTAGCTGGAACTGTTGTGTTCTGTTTGCTACGCGCTCATGTCTGCAAAAGTTTTTAAACAGTTTCTTAATGGGAATATTTTCTTCTTCTGCCTGTTTAATGAAATGTTTTCGTTAGCCAATGTGACTATATGCAATACAGAGAACTGTAAAACAAGGCATTTTAAAAGCAGAAATTCTGCTTTAAGTCAACATCAAAAATATTGACGTTTAAAACTGCAGTGCACGGCAGCCAGTTTTGAAGAACTGACTTTTAAAGGAGCACCCAGATAAGTACTGTGGGCTAGACGTGAGGGATGCAGGGAGGAGATGAAACAAAACCCAAACATCTGAGACAAGGTCCTGTTTTATCCGGTCTCTGTCCTATCTTAACTGTGAATTTGTGGTTTCTTTACCATCTTCAGTTACACATGGATGGCGAATGGACCTTGTGGGAAGCATTGTGCTGTGCTTCCCCAACCCGAGCTCAGATCTTGGCTCTGTAACACCAGGAACGAACTCCTGTATTTGTTTTACCTCTATAGAGAGCACTGAGATCCAGTGACAGCATAAACTAGAGCTCCTCGTTATCACCTACACGTTCTGTAGTATAAACTGGGTCTTCAAGAGTGTGCAGAATTGTCTGCAGAAGCGCAGCAAATGTGTTACTACACTGTAGTTTCATTTGAGTGTCATATCAGCCATGGTTTCATTTCTCAAGAATCTCTTTGTAGTTTCTGAGTAGGTGATTGGTGTTTTTTTTCCTTTTTTTCTATTCTTATCAAGTACCCTAACCATTCAGGGTCTGTGGATTACAGATAGTGCAGAGGTGCTCCTTTTTCTCAGTGTTTTTGGACTGCTAGGGCCAAGAAATGCTGAGATGGTGAAAGCTCTTCTTCCCACATCTGCAAGCTTTTCTGAGAGATAGAAACCGTTCCTTCGGTAGACGGAAGTCTTTTGTAAAGAAACCACCTTGATAATCTGCCTCAAAGACCTATTGAATCTAGTGTCTAATTGCCCTCAACCTTGTATAAGAAAGGAGGACAAAAGACAGTAGGTATGTGGTGTTACACGGTTCTGGTAAGACCACCTCTGTTAGCTCTACTGTAAATGCAGACATGAATTGAGGGCATCTGGGACTGGGTCTGTTGATCCTCTCAGATATAAGCACGTTAGTCTTTTTTATGAAACCACTGCTGAGGTCTTCGGATTGAGAGTTAGTGAAATATTCCATCTCTGACGTGTGCTTTGGCACTAGAGGAGATCCTTCCATGTGGACCATTTGACAACTTGTTACGTAAAGTGACTAAGATGGGAATAGGGCAAAGGTGAATATTTGTGGCCGAAAACCTACCTTGGCACAAAGTTGAACACATTTTTTTTGTACAAGTGTTTCACATCTGTGCCTGTTCCTTTTCTAGATAAACTGACTCTCTAGTTTTTACTCAAAACCCCAAAAGAGAGGGCCTTTCACTGTGGAGACTTGTCGCAATTTGGAGATCATCGCCTCTGTGCAGTGATCACCTAATTAATGAGGAGCAGCATAATTAGGAGTAACAGGATCATAGCTTTCAGATACTCTGGTTTATTCATGCATGTTTATGAAAGCTGGAATTACAGGTCTGTTGCCCATCGCTGGTTCTTGCTCTTCCAAGGTGTTCTGTTAGCAGATTTGTAGGTAGCTGCTAAACAAGGTTTCTTGCACACACTTAAAAGCATCGCAGATCTACCAGTCTGCATTTTAACTTGCCATTAGAAACCTAATAAAAAACCTAGTAGCATTAATTAATAGTGTAATTCTCAATCCATTCTGGGCCTCAGGCTGGAGAATGGCTATGTCTCATCTCTGGAGATAAAGGAAACTTCTGTGTTGTCCTGCTGTGTCTGATTTGGTGTTTGATACCACTGATATCAGCTGAAGCACTCCAAATTCACTCATCTGTACTTGCTTTCAAATTTCTTAATCCTCTGAAGAACGGTAGCGTTATCTGCAGAGCCCTCTAGTACAGAGGGTCATCCTCAACTTTGATCAAGCTCTTGGACAAAATTACTGTGTGTGAAACAAAACAAGCTTGAACGAACAAGTAACTTTAAGCACCTAGCATTGCAATGTCAATGTGAAATTTAAAGCAGTCAAGTGTCCTGGTTTTTTAATAGCAAAACTTAATTTAAGCAAATTCAGTAGCTAGTGAGAGCTGACCTCGGCCAAAGGATTATTTGTGCTCGTGAGTTGTTGGTAAGAGGGTGACTGCTTTGAAAAAGTTACTGTTTCGGCTCTTCCATGATCTGTGCCACCTGGCATCAGTTGGTATGTCCGCAACTTTTGGTCTTTTCTTGTCTAATAAAGTTTGTTCTTGGACCATTTCTTCAGTATGATGTCGCTACTTCCTTTCATGAATGAAATGCATGCTCGTGAGAACAAAATGGCTTGGGGCTCGAGTACAGTTATTATGTATGAATTTCTGATGGATAGAAGTTAGTAATTTGGGGGTTTCTTTGAGCATGGTTTTTTGTTTCTCCGATGTGGCTATTCTTCCATCTCAGACTGTTGCTGTGGTCTCTCTAGGTTTGCTCCCATGTATCTGTGTGAAGCCTTTTTCTTCCAGTTATTGATGTTGACATGATAATCTTGAAGTATTTCAGACTATCCTTATATCACTTGGTTCAATGATAGTCTGTTTAAAAATAACACAGAAGATCTCGTCATCTTCCTGCCTGCAGAGCCTGCGGGTAAAGGAGACCTTTTTCAGGAGTCCTCCCAGTAGAGATGAGAAAGAAATGTTGGTGTGGGTTGGGTTTTGTTGGGTTTTTTTTGTTTGTTTTGTTTTGTGTGTGGTTTTTGTTTGTTTGTTTGGGGGGGGGTGTTGTGTTTGTGAGTTTTTTTTGTTTGGGGTGGTTTGGTGGGGGTTTTTTGTGTGTGTGTTTTGGTTTTTTTTTTTGTTTTTTTTTTTTTGTAAGAGCCACCACTGTTTTCTACCCAGACTGGTGTAGGCAGAGCTGACAGCATTGTTTGAGCTGTTGGGTATGCCATTTCATCTCTTGAGTCTGTATAGATGAGAAGTTCTGCTACACAGTTCAAGACGACTTTGGTTGATTGCTGTTCAGCAAACACTGAAGAATGATCTCTGAAAATATCAGAAGACCTTTAACTGCTGATCTGAAAATGGTACAAGAAGTCCCATCAGCCATGGCTACGGAAAGGCTCTGAGGCCAGCATGGAACAGGTTGAAACGTGATCTCCGTCTTCTGATTGCTGGATAGCTCTCTAAAACCCTTAGCTGGTGCTGTAAAGTGATTATAAGTGCCTGTAGATCATGCTGCAAAAATAAACTCTAAGGAGGATATGGGAACTCCTAGCTGATGGCTTAAACGATCTTGGATTTGGATCTCGGTCTGCAGTTAGAGGCAAGTGTTGGCTCTAGAGTGAGGTTTATTTTTCTGTCACTCTGAGAGCTGAAAAACTGCACAAAGAGGGCTAAGTATTTTATGTCAAAATAGTGTGATTAAATCAGCTTCTGTCTCAAGTGTCGGATACTGCACTGTAGATTTTGATACAGATTTGGTTATGGGAAGAAATACATCTGCGACTTTTACTTTTTTTAAGGCAGATGCATGTGATGTAACTGGAAGTGAAGCAAAACACATGTTAAAAAAAACCCTCTAGCTAATACTCTTTTTCAGAAGCCTATTCATTAACTTGTGTTCCTGTGAGCACTTGATCTGGTATTCTGATTTGCTATAAAAAGCCTAAGTTCAGTTCATGCCTTGAATTTTAAAATTCCTATCTTTGGCCCATAATACTTCAACTTCCTTCATTGTCTCCCATGAAATATCTTGGAGCCTGACTCTAGCTGAAGCTGGCTGAATCCTCACTTTGAATAATGAGTTTTGTTTTTCAGTGAAAGCAGTGACATAGTTATCAGCCTGAAGAGCTAATTCCAAAAAAACATGACCAAGTCTTCCCTCAATTTGAGTGGCCGTGCCATGTTCCACTATCCATGAACGTAGTTTATTAAGCTAATTAAGTTAGTGTAGTGGGAAAGGAAGGAAAATAACTTTAAAAAGTTGGAGGGAGATAAAAGGATAAATGACCAGCTCAGCCAAGTTGTATTGTTTAATTTGAGTCCCTGAAGACCTCTGCAAATTTATCCCAAGGAAAACAGATTAAAAAGATGTCTAGTGAGAAGTTTGTCATCTGTCTTGTCTTCTCCAGACTTTATCAGTAAAGCTGCAGTATCCCTGCAGTTGCTTGTTCAGGCAGGCCCTCAAGTGCCAGGTAAATCCTTCCTGATTCTGCTCCACCTGATGAAGTTTAAGGTGAGGCGTGACCAGACCATGCCGTCTGCTTCTGCTGGCATTGGTTTACATCCAGTGGCCTTGTTTGCTTTGGCACTGCTTGCCTCCAAAGCTGCTTCGGCACTGTTGGTATAAGCCATTTTCCAATCCTCTGCTGCAGTGTGTTCATCAGCTTTTTCCTCTCCTCTGCTGACGTCTTTGGGGGTGTCATGGGTGGCACCAAGGAGCAGCACCATAGTGCATTGCTGCTTCTGCATTGTCGTCCTGAAGAAGGAAGAAACGTAGTACTATTACCCCAGCTCTGAGAGGTGGGATCTGCCTTAACTGTGGCCATGGTGTGGAAACCACATTTTTGTCTCTAAATCCTCACTGGAAGGATGGTCTCTTCACCAGTGGTGAGACTGCAGGTGATATATCCACCTGCTTACAGCTGGAAACATCAGCTCAGCTTACCTTTTCCCACTGTTTATTGCAGATGGCACCTGGACTCCAGATCCCTCCTGTTCTGTAGCTGGAAAGCTGATACTATTGGTTGTTTCTGTTTTGAGCTGAACTGGTCTTTTGGTTTGAGCAGGAGTAGCCATCTCATCTCCTTGGAGGATTACGTATCTTCTGAGGGACTCATCTGGGCGTAGGAGGAGCCTGAACCAGGTTACCCTGAAGACATCTTCATGGGGATTTTGCCTACTGCCACTTTCTTCAGGACACATCAGCAGGCAGGCTGATGACTCGTTGGAGTGTTACAGAAGGATAAACCCTCTCGTCCAGGATGTTCATTCTCTACTTCCAGATCCTGGAGTGGATGTTTTTAAGACTGTTTCTGAGGTAGTGGTAGCAAAGAAGAGGGTGCTAAGTGTATGGGTGGTTTGGGCCTGGCAAGAACCTACTGTCTGCTGCCTTGCATGGATGGGCTCCAACAAGGCTTCTTCATAGATCTGATGGCTTGAAGGGACTTGGTGGCAGTGGCAAACATCTGTTAGTCTCCCAAGACAACTGTAATTACAGTGTGTTAATTTGGTAGATTAACTTGATTCCCAAAGGTACTGGAGAGGCATGCATTGAAGTGGATAACTTCTTAACTACCAGAAGTGTTTCTGACTGATTTACTTAATTTTTGTCTTTGCCGTTGCACTTCCTTAAAGGTTAGGGGTCTCTTACAGGTGCGTGCAGAAAATGCATGCAAGCTGGAAGTGGTTTTGTATGCTTTGTGTAAACTACTGAAAATGAATCTACTGACCTTTGGTAGAGAAGGCAGGTAGAAGTTGTTTCATCAGGCACTTCTTAATTCCCAGTATTTGTGTGCTTACATGTTTTTATTAATTTGTGAGGAAGAAGAATGTAAGTTAAGCAGTAATCCAGCTCTTCCCTGCCCCCTTCTCGTTGGCCCAGGAAAAATGTTGTGATGTTTTGCCAGTGCTAGGTTGCCTTCAGCAGGGAGGCGTGCTCACACAATGCACCCTAGAACCACTTGTGTTCCACCCCTGATTCCAGCAGAGGTGAATAGCTAGGAAGATGGGGCAGGACCTGGATTTTCCAAGAAGAAATTGGAACTAGATGTCTCTGGTAAACCAAAACACATAAATTAGCTCAGAAGGAGTTGGTTTGTGTTCTGGTCCTGTGCAATATCAAGGAATGTTATATTCTGGTATATGCTAGGTTTGTCACCGCTGCAGCTTTAACAGAAATGCAGAAATACTGACTATTGTGGGAAGACTGGCCATTTGCATTTTGGATTTTTTTGCTTGAAAACTCAAATCAGAGTAAAATAGAAGGTTTCGTTTGTTAAGAGGAAGTGGACGTGTATCAGTTTCAGACGGAGAAGTGCGTAATGTGCTAGTCAGGACCAAGCTGCTAATGGTAGCTGATGTTGGAAGCATCAGCTCTTGACTGAAAAAAGTAAGGCAAGTGGTGGTGAACTAAAACAAGAGTGTTCAGTGCATCCTGCGGAGCTCTTTAGCAGAGAGCTTAAAGGGGAAGTTCCTGGGCATATCATCTTCAGAGATTGTCTAGCGAAGAGCAAAGCATCACTCCTTGTTCAGTAGCACATATGGAGACAGACACTCACAATGACCCTGCTAGTCGTAATGATAAGCATGAAGTATACTGGCTGATATCAGCTAGCTCTCCAGTGAATTTTTAAAATCACTGATACACTTACATTTTGCCTCTTTGTACAGGTATTCCTGTTGCAGTGGATAATCTCACTTGTACCTTTCCAGCTATTGCTGGTCATCTGTCATGTTCTGCCGAAGTTGAATATACTTAAACTGTGAATGCCTTATCTTCTCATTTAAAACTTCCTGTTGAGTAGAGGGACAGCAGACACTTCAAGTCTGACTTTCTCTTAGTACCGGTCAGCAAACATCTGGCTGGTAGAAACCATCTGTCTAAAGCAGTAATGAATCCACTCTGATAGGAGTCCTGTATTTGTAGGGTAGTTTTGCTCAATTACAGCTATTTCTGTATAAAAATAAAGCGTTCTGTTATGCAGGAAGCTACGGGGGAGGATGTTCTCCATTGATAAATATTACTCACCTAAGCTGGTTTGCACAGGTTCTGTTGGGTTTGGCTACTGGTTGGCAAGGTATGAGCAAAAAAAGTCTCTTTATGCCTCATGATTACAAGTTTAACATTTGTTTCATTTGTCATCTGCTTTTTTGTAGGTATGATAGATTGTTTTAAAACCAACTTTCGATAAGGAGTGACTTCTGAAAGCTTAGTTGGTTAAAATTGATTTTGATCAATGCAGAGTTTTGCATATTGTCTAGGAGAACTGGAGAAAATATCTTTGCATGCAATGGAAGGAATGATGTTTTGTTGTCCAAACAAGTTTTGTCTGATATTACTGACTTGTTTTTGACCAGATGATGATATTAGTCTAATTATAATGTGCCAGTAGTGAATACTAAAGCAAGTTTGTTCTTTGTGTTCTTCCTCCCTCAGGACAAAATGTTTCACTTTTGGGTAAATACATTCTTCATAGGACTGGATGAAAATTCAGACAAAGTAGAAAATGGAAGTCTAGTTGCAGATCAGGAACTTGATGGTATTTTCAGTACAGAGCGCTCAGATAATGATAAGGAATATTTAATCCTTACATTAACAAAAAACGATCTAGACAAAGCAAATAAAGACAAAGCCAACAGATATTTCTCTCCAAACTTCAAGGTCAGTATACACTGTGTGTATCAACAAAGCTGAAAAGCTGCATGACGTTATCTGATTTGTCTGTCTTGCCTTATGGAGGAGCCATTTGAAACTGCTGTCTGTGTAGAAATTGGATTCGTGTATTAGTTCTGCCACCACTTGGCAAAGCTTCTAGCTTTGTAAGTTTATCTGCGTTTTGGGAAATCAATAGATGTTGAGAGGCTGGGAGTAAAGGCTTTGGGTTGTTTCGGGTATTTATCAAAGCCATCAGAGACGAGCAGTAGGAGACCCAGGTAGCATCTTTCCTGTACCAGCTGCATTGCCGTGAGCTCTGAGCTTTACACGCTGATTCCTGAGGTGCCTGCTTCACGGGAATACCTTAACCAGGGAATTGAGCTTTGAGGAATAGGAGCCATTGCCAGCCCTGGTTTTAAAAATGGAAAAGGCATTTTTAAGAATTGTAGTGTGTTCTAAGTTGCTCAGAAAATACCAGTTAGACCCCAGCAGTGCTCGTCTGAAGGTAACGGTCAGAGTTGCTTGTTGGAATGTTGCTTGGATTAGACTGTTAACGCACACGTCCCCACCAGTTAGCGTTTTGTTCATTCCTGTGCACTCCTAATACGATCCCTTTTCGTAGGATGGCTGAAAAGCTCAGTGTGGCACGGCCTGCTGCAGTGGTACATCCTGCCGCGGTAACTCAGGGTACCAGTGGTTGGTGCAGACATGCAGACCTCCTTCGGCTGGGCTTGAAAAACCTGCTGCTTTGCCTGTTCTTTATTTTGTCAGGGGTGGTAGCGAGAGGCTGGCTAACCTCAGAAGAGCTCTTTATTTCCTTCTTTCCAGAGTAGAGAGGGGAGCACTCATGTGATTCAGGGTAGCGAGAGGACCCAGGCTGTTAAAAATTGCATTGTTGCTTGTGCTCAGTTTAAAGTACAGGTTCCCTTTTTAAATGTTGTTTTTTCCTTTCCCAGGTGAAGCTATTTTTCACAAAAACAGTAGAAGAGCCATCAAATCCAGAGGCTAGCAGTTCAACTTCTGTAACACCAGATGTTAGTGACAATGAACCTGATCATTATAGATACTCTGACACCACTGACTCTGATCCAGAGAATGAACCTTTTGATGAAGATCAGCATACGCAGATTACAAAAGTCTGAATATTTTTTTTATCGGAGATAAAAAAAACCCACAAAAAAAACCAACCATGAAGAGTGACAAACTTGAATAAACTGAAAAAAGGACCTTTTTAAATGGCAAAAGGACATAGTGTCAGATTACCAATTATAGGAACAATTCTTTTCTTGACCAATCTTGTTTTGCCCTATAAATCCACAGGGTTTGACACTTGTCCAGTTGGAAAAAAAAAAGGTTACGTAGCTATGATATGTATATACCTTTTTGTGTCAAAAGGACATTAAAACTTCAATTAGGAACTATAAACATGGCACTTTCCCATTTTATTCCAGTTTTATAAAAGTGGAGACAGACCTAATGTGTATACGTAGGAATTTTTCCTTTTGTGTTCTGTCACCAAATGAAGTTTCGAAAATATACAGGTTCACATCCTGCCCCTTTTTTTGCACTTGTGTGGCAACAGAAAAGTCTGCAGTTGGCTAAGAGATGTTTCTGGAAGGTTTTTACTACATTCTAATGCATGTATTTTGGATGGGGGATGGAAAGTAATGCTCAGAAAGGAATATAGTCCGCTGGAGCTTGGCCTGTGTACCATATCCGGCTATTTACATGCACCTTTCTTTAGCATGCTACCGTAATTCATCCTGGACAATTGAAGAGTCGCCGCTGTCACTGCTTGTTGTTTGTGCATTTTATTTTTTTAAGTGTAATGGTGCTAGAAAAGGCAGCTAGAGGGAGTGATTCTGTATAGGGGTACAGGAATGAACCTTCACAACATCCTAAAGACCCGCAAATGAAGGGAGAAAAATTATTGGGGTCACAGAAAGGAAACACAGCAACAATGACTTAACCATACAAATGTGGAGGCTACCAACTAAAATATGGGCTTGAAACAAATGGTTACAAAATTTGACAATGATTTATTAATTGTTTTTTTTTTTCTGAATTGTAATGGCTGCTCCATCTCCTGTGTAATCAAGGCCAGTGCTAAAAGTCAGATGCTATTAGTGCATACATCAGTCAACATCTTACATTTATATTATTAGTTTTTCAATCTTTTTTTTCCTGCTGTGAATACTTCATGTGCTGCCTTGCGAGCTTTTTTCTCATTAATATAAAAATACTTTGTAATGGTGCACAGGAAATTTCAATTGGAGATTCTCCAGGTTAGTGTTTGTTTTGAAGATCTATGATGCATTTATTCAATCAAACCTCTGTCAGCTGTTCCACCCCTTTGACCGTACACATTCTATTACAATGAGTTTTGCAGTTTTGCACACTTTTTAAAAAAAATGTCATTAACTGTTAGGGAGTTTTACTTGAATACTCAGTACCTACAATGTTTTAAAAACAGACATTACACACGCTATAGAGGAAACCAGTGTTGCAGTAAATTCTCAACACTGTGTGTTTATGAAGATGTGTACTTTTAAAAGCAGAGCTTGTCCCAAATATATTGTTTGCTATTAAGAAAACGAAAAACCAAACCACCCAACAAATCGGTTTTCTGAACTGGCGGTGTTGTATTACTTGTTCGTAGGGATATAGCCAGGCATAGGGCTTGAGATTCACTTTTGGTATATAATTGGCATGCCCAGACTGCAGATGACTTAAGAGTACAACTACTATTGCATGCAAACGTGAAGTAGCTGGCAAAATTGTTCTCTCTAAAGTATGCCGTGAATAGCTGTCCCCAAATTGACACTTTTTTAGGATGTAAACCCCCCCCTTTTAATTAACTTATTGGTGCTGACATTGATGTTCATTAGCTGTGTTCTCGCCTAGATAACAACTGTGTGTGGAATCTGTAAGGGCCCTGTACAACAGCATTAATGGTAAGAATTTGAATGAGACAAGGCAGGACTTCCAGTAATTGCTATTGGTAAACGAAGGTATAAAGTGCTTTTTCTTT